CCAGCGGTAATTACAGAAGCAAGACACCTGTCTAAACAAAAACAAAAGCCTTGTTGAGAACACCTACTCAGCGACAGGCGGATTGCTCAAGGTCAGGAGTTCGAACCAGCCTGGAGCAAGAGCGAGACCTTGTCTCTTACTATAGTAGAAAGAAATTAATTGGCCAACTAATATATATAGAAAAAGTTAGCCGGGGCATGGTGGCGGCATGCCTGTAAGTCCAGCTACTCGGGGAGGCTGAGGCAGGAGGACTCGCTTGAGCCCAGGAGTTTGAGGTTGCTGTGAGCTAGGCTGATGCCACGGGCACTCACTCTAGCCTGGGCAACGTGAGACTCTGTCTCAAAAAAAAAAAAAAAAAAAAGAGAGATGAGTAGGTGTTCTTTTTTTTTTTTCTTTTTTCTTTTTTTATTGAGACAGAGTCTCGCTTTGTTGCTCAGGCTAGAGTGAGTGCCGTGGCGTCAGCCTAGCTCACAGCAACCTCAAACTCCTGGGCTCAAGCAATCCTGCTGCCTCAGCCTCCCGAGTAGCTGGGACTACAGGCATGCGCCAGGCTAATTTTTTTCTACATATATTAGTTAGTGCCAATAATTTATTTCTATTTTATAGTAGAGACAGGGTCTCGCTCTTGCTCCGGTGGTTTAGAACTCCTGACCTTGACGCAATCCAGCCCCGCTCGCCTCCCAGAGTGCTAGGATTACAGGGTGAGCCACTGCGCCCGGCCTGAGTAGGTGTTCTCAAAAGGCTTTTGTTTTTGTTTGGAGACAGGGTCTTGCTTCTGTCGTACCAGCTGGAGGTGCGCAGTGGTATGGATCATAGCTCCACTGGCGAGCCTCAGAACTCCTGGCTCAAGTGGCTCCTCCCGCCATCAGCCGTCCCAGAGTAGCTGGGAGCTGCTCACAGCAGGATCGCCCCACCATGCCGCTAAATTTCTTTTTTTTAGAGCCGTCAAGGTCTCACGTACGTTGCCGCAGGTTGGTCTCGACTCCTGGCTCCATTTTCGACATAATCCTCCCCACCTCAAAAGTGACTGGGATTACAGGTGTGAGCCACCGTGCCTGGCCTAAAAAAAAAGGATGTTAAGGCCAGACAAGCACCTCATGCTTAATCATAAGAATGAATGACTGAAAGAAGAAAGAATACCTTTCTTGCAGCAGGGATGCAAACTTCTCTTAAAAATATTCTCTCAAACCGGTCTAAAACCATTTTCCACACCAAAAAAGACTCTGAAATTCAATCTACTGATGACCTTCCAGATCTCTTCCTCTAGTCTCTTTTAATTCGGTTTAAGGTTTTAGAGCTAAAATTCAATATGGTGGCGGTCACACTCTTCCCGCTGAAGTGTCCTCCCACAGGGGGCAGCGAGGGCGAAACTCAACCTTGGAGTTAATGCCAAACCTTAGGAGAGGGCTGTTGCAGAGAATGGAGACCTGCCCCAAGACCCTCACGCTGCGGGTTTAAAAGCTCAAATGAATATAAATTTTGCATTCTACTCTTCATCATGCTGTCTTGGTGTGATTGTGATACAAAATAGTATTGGTAAAATTCACATTCGCCCTTAAATTTTTTCCTCAGTCCTCCTAAAGGGTAAGACCGCGCCCGGCCTAATTTCTTTCTATTTATAGTAGAGACGGGGTCTCGCTCTTGCTCAGGCTGGTTTTGAACTCCTGGCCTTGAGCAATCCGCCCGCCTCGGCCTCCCAAGAGCTAGGATTACAGGCGTAGAAATCCACTTTTATTTATTTACTTTTCATCAGTTTAAATTCTTGAAGGGTACAGCATCACACGGATTCTGTGTCCAATGGCCTTAGCAGGAAGGTTGCTTCGGAATTTGGCACGAACCATGCCACTGTTTCCGTGGGCCCGAGTTACCTTTCCCCGGATTACTCTGGTTTTGTTTGGTTTGCCCCCAGGAGTCACTGTTGTTGTTCTTTGCTTTGTATACATAAGCACATCTCTTGCCCAAATAGAATTCAGTTTCATCTCGGGCATAAACACCTTCAATTTTAAGAAGAGCTGTGTGCTCTCTTTGGTTCCGGAGACCGAGCTTATAGCCAGCAAAAATGGCCTTCGACCACAGCCTTCCAGACATATTTGCCTTTTAGAAGTCTTGTTCCCAGGAGACCGCCACAGGCTCCAAGATGGCGGAAAGCTCTCAGCAGGTTTTTATTCCCTTTAAGGAGGGAAAGAGGAATCACATGTAGGATGTCAAATATTGCAGTTTGTCTATGGAAGAGCATCGGGAAGGAAGAGCCGTTCATTCAAGCAAGGGAGTTAATGAGCATTTTATTTTTACCCTTGCAAACAATATATTTTTGTTTTAGAAAATGTAGAAAACACAAAAGAAGCATCAAAAAATGATAATCACCTCTAATTACACACATATCTCCTCTCTAAAATACGTAAGATACAGATTGGTACTGGGGGGGGGGCAATAGATTTTTATTTCCAGCAGAGGGCGCTGTGCACCCTGGCAGGACATTTGTGTAAGTGCGGCGAAAAGCTGTGGTCATTGACACGCTCCTTGTGATCTAGCTGCTCTTAACGACGAATATCCCAGGTAGCCAGCTCCCCTGTTCTACACTGCAACTTGCTTCAGAATGTCCTTTGGATCGGTGTCAACAATGAGCTTGCCCACACACCCATCCCTGACACTGCTCTTGCCTCCAAAGACCAAGCAGAAATGCCAGACTGAGATCACAGGTCATACTGTCCACGCATGTGATCCAAACGGCCGGCCAAGCTTTCATTTCCCAGTGCTGTAAATGCGATTATTTGCAGTCGAAATTTATTTATGCCAGGATCGGCTGCTTCTTAGCATTGCTAATTTCACTGCTCACTCTTTTATTTTTCAGTCTGAGTGTAATAATTGCCATACTTTGGATGCAGCTCGTCTTCATAATCAGCTGTTATCAATAATGGCCACCTGTGGAGCGCGAGGATTATAGGAAAAGATGCTGCTTGTAGTGTAGGTTGCAAAACAAATTGAAAACGGCCTACGTATTAATCAACAGGTGTAGGTGAATAAATGATGATACGACTGCAATGAGGAAGGCCATGTAGCTGTTAAAAATAACGCAGTAGCCCCGCCTACATTCATATGGAAAGATTTCCCAATTGTCTTATTGAAAGCAGACCCTAACACAAAGAGTCAAGAGCAAGTTGTTTGCTCTGGGAGATTCAGCCACACATACTCCAAATTGTCCCACTTAAGGGATGAGGGAACTGTCATGGAGGGCTGCTCCTGGGAAGTCTAAATTCTTTGGCACTGCTGATCTGCCACCACGAAGGTTGGCAAAGCAAGCTTGGGTGACCAGAGAAAGTCCTCGGGAAAGGGTCGGGGGTGCGGGCAGTTGGAAGTTGGGCTGGCATGCATGGAAGTGGTAAGAATTGGGGACATTAGTATGGGCGGAACACTGGCAGCGTGCTGTGTATGTTACGAAGAGGAAGGAAGGAAGGAGGGCGGAAAGGAGGGAAGGAAGGGAGAAACAAAGGAAGGAAGGAAAAGAAGGAAGGAGGGAGGAAGGAAGGAAAGGCAGGAAGGAAGGACAAGAGGGAAGAAGGAAAGGAAGGGAAGAGAAGGGAAGAAGGAAGGAAGGAAGGAAAGAAGAAAAGGAAGGAAGGAAGGAAGGAAAGAAGAAAAGGAAGGAAGGAAGGAAGGAAGGAAGGAAGGAAGGAAGGAAGGAAGGAAGGAAGGAAGGAAGGAAGATAGGTAGCATGGTGCTTAAATTTATTTATTTATTTATTTATTTATTTATTTCCATAGAGAAGGGGCTGGAAGGTTGCGAAGCAAACTGCTGGTGGTTATGGCTCTTGGGTGGAGGAATGCAAGGAGGGAAGAGAAGTCACCGGATCCTCTGTGTACTGCTGTATTGCCAAGTTGTTTTACAGCAAGAATGCATTCATGTAACGCTCTGTAACTGAAAAAGACTTCAAGAAATAAGTTATAGGTTCATCATAAAAACAAATCCTTGACCTCTGAGGACAGGAGTAGTTTTGCCCTTAGGATATTCTATGGCACTTTTTTTTTGCATGGTTAGCAGTTTGACCTTGATTTGCTGGCGGACGCTGTGAAGTTAGACTAGATGGCATTTACATTTCCTCATGCTTTTCTTGTAAGAGAGTCTACCTGAACTGCTGAAGCCCCGGCTTTTCTTCTGAGGCTCCTGGGAATTCTTTTTGCTTTGGACAGAGGTGCCTTTGATCTGAACCCTAAGAGGGACTTTCCCTGGTGACAGAACTGTGTCTACATCCCAATGCTATTGCTGGGGCCATTTATAAAGTCAGAGGCTCTGCGGAGAAGGGTGTCACAGGTTGGGCTCTATAGGAGCAGGCTGAGCTTGGGGCAGAGATTCTTGTACTAGTGATTTGTGGAGAGAGCGTTCTCAGGAGGAGCCTGTAAAAGAGTGAACGATGCTAGAGAGATAAAGGGAAGAAGTCCGGCAAGGGCGTGGTTTCAGGTGAAGTCCACCTCGCCTGATCACGCAGGGAGCTGGGGAGTGTCCAGTGCTCCGTGGGGCCTGTCCCCTGATGAAGCCAGGGACTGGGCCTTCTGTACCCGTGCACCAGTCTGCAGCCCGCCCTGGGGCCAAGGGGTGTAACCCCCAGGGACCTCTGTGTGTGGCAGCTTGAGATGCTCAAGAGTGATGCTAAGAAAAGGTTGCATGTATGAGCCACTAGGGGGCGCTGCGAGGTAGGCACGCTGACTCAGTACAGGGGTCCTAGGAGTTCTAAATGGGTCATGAGCATCATCTGCCTCAAAAAAAGGCCAAGGAAATTAGCCTCCCTTAGGCCCCAGCCCCCTAAGAGGAACCAGGAGAGGTACATGAGACCATCTAGGGCAGGTGTCCTCAAGCTACGGCCCGAGGGCCACATGCAGCCCACCGGGTGTTTTTGCCGCCGCTGCCTGTCCTGCTTAGCAGCCAACTCGTCCCAGGCCCACAGTGCGCATGTGTGGAATGCGCCCTGCACTCTCCAACTGCCCTCCAACAGTCTGAGGGACGATGAACTGGCCCCCTGTTTAAAAAGTTTGAGGACCCTTGCTCTGGGGGTCAGGTGCCTGGCTTAGGAGGGACATACGAAGGAAAAGAAGGCCTCCTCTTTCTAGCACCATGGAAGGCAGCCTGGGGAAATAGTTTGAAGGTTCCCTTCTCTCTCCAGCACACGCAGAGGCGGGGGTGCGGGAGGGAGGGAGGCATGGAGGCAGCAGGTGGAAAATGCAGCCAGTGCAGTCGGGACACTGGATGCACTGAGCACACGGGTTCGTTGACTGAGCGAAGAAGCAATCATATTGAGGATAATGAGACCCACATTTCTCATTATTGGAGAAGGGAATTGCAAACATGCAAATTGGGAAGGTCAGAAAGAACCCTGACCGGGTGCAGTGGCTCACACCTGTAATTCCAGCACTCTGGGAGGCCAAGGTGGGCGGGAGGATCACTTGAGGTCAGGAGTTCGAGACCAGTCTGAGCAAGAGAGAGACCCCGTCACTACTTTTTTTTTTTTTTTTTGAGACAGAGTCTCGCTTTGTTGCCCAGGCTAGAGTGTCCTGGCGTCAGCCTAGCTCACAGCAACCTCAAACTCCTGGGCTCGAGCGATCCTCCTGCCTCAGCCTCCCGAGTAGCTGGGACTACAGGCATGCGCCACCATGCCCAGCTAATTTTTTCTATATATATTAGTTGGCCAATTAATTTCTTTCTATTTATAGTAGAGACGAGGTCTCGCTCTTGCTCAGGCTGGTTTTGAACTCCTGACCTCGAGCAATCCGCCCGCCTCGGCCTCCCAGAGAGCTAGGATTACAGGCGTGAACCACTGCGCCCGCCCCCGTCACTACCAAAAATAGAAAAAATTAGCTAGGTGTGGTGGCGTGCACCTGTAGTCCCAGCTACTTGGGAGACTAAGGCAGGAGGATCTCTTGAGCCCAGGAGTTTGAGGTTGCAGTGACCTGTGATGATGCCACAGCACTCTAACCTGGGTGACAGAGTGAGGCTCTGTCTCAAAAGAAAGAAAAGAGAAAGAACCCTAAGGTGCTGAGCTGGAATTAGAGGTATACCAGTGTGAACTCATTGTCTCTTAATAAATATACATGATAGATAAAGAAATAGATATAGATATATGATGTGTGTGGAGCGAGGGAGAAGGAATAGATAGATAGATAGATAGATAGATAGATAGATAGATAGATAGATAGATAGATGGATAGTTTTAACTGAGTCCACTGAGGAGCTGGAGGCAGTGATAATCCAGCAGCAATGAGCACACTGAGCATTCAGATCTTGGTGTCTAAATACCATTCTCTGCCAAAGGGAACCAGCGGTTCTTAAAAATATGAATGGCTCCAGGGCTGGGGCAAGGAAAGTACAAGATGGGCTGGAAATCTTGTGCCGCAAAGTAAGGAAGATCTCGAGGAATGGTGGAGACATGCGAAAAAAGACCACAGGAATCAGCTTGAAGGGGCTCCCACTGGCCAGATCTGGGACGGTCTGAGCGTCAAAATAATCACGGGTTATATATAAACCACTGAACAAAATCCAAGTCTCCAAGTCCACACTGATTAAATGACTAGATAAATAGATAGCTAGATGAGGCGAATAAAGAGAAGGGAATGCTCTTCCTTGGAGTAGAATGTCAACTAAGCATTGTAAAAGGAATGACGGAAGTAAAAAATATCACTTGTCACTCCACAGTGGTAGCTGGTTTAGGCAGAAACTGTCAATGGCCAAAGCCGGTGCGTGGAGGGTTTGTGGGGGAAAGGATATGGGCATAATCTCTGACTATTTTCTCACAAAGTAATTGTTAATCCCAAATGGAAAAATGAGCACTGAGGGTGGAGAAATCAGTTCGACACCAGCCTGGTCCCGTGGGGGAGATGAACTTCACCAGTGATGGGCTGGGCTGACCTCATGTGCCCCTGATGTCACATTCTGGGAAGGGCTCAGGGTCACTCCTGCGGTGCTCCTGCCAAGAGAACATTTTCTCCTAGACCTCCTGGGTTTCACTTAGGGCCCGATGGCAGTCTATCTCTGCAGATCTGGGGTGGGGGCGGGGAGCCATTTATCTAGCCATCATCACTGTAGGACATTCTGATGTAAGTGGTCTACTGACCACTCACAGGGGCATGGTGGCCTAGAAATTCAGGACATGTAGCAGTTTCCCCACCCAGCCCTGGCCTTAACCCCTGTCTGTCCCTTTGCTTTCCCAGGGTGACGCTGTATGCCGAGTTCCTTCCCATGAAAGCCCGAGCTAAATGTATTTTGCTGATTGAGGTAAGGAGGAGGGCGGCCCGGGTCTCTAGAGAGTGCCGGCTCTCTGGCAGGAGGCTCTCTGATGTCTTGAGCCACAGGTCAAAGAAAAGCAAGTTTAAGAAAAATATAACATACTTGCTATGCAAAGACTTGAATGGACCAGTTGGGTTGATTCTGGCACGGCTGTTTTGCAACATGAATAAATTCTTCAGTTGGGGAGAAAATCCAATCCATCATTCCTTTAAAAAAAATGGTGGCAAGCAGGTGGCAGGTCCTTCTGGAGCTGGGAAGAGCTCAAATCTGAGAGTTGGTGTCGAGTGGTGTGGCTTTAGTGGACCAAACTCCTGTCCTGTCACATCGTCACCCTCTGCCACTGTCTTTCACCCAGACTGGCCCGTGTCTTGTGTGACATCTCCATGCTTGGCCACTCCTATAGCCATCTTAAAATTCTTAGAGTCCGGCCACTCCCCCTCAAGTCCTCCTTCTGCCAGGGACTTGTCACCCATTTTCCAATCAAGAGCCAAAAGATCTCAGGGCAAATACGATGACCCGATGACCCTGCCCCACGCACGGTGGCGGAGTGGCGTATGTGACCCTGCTGGACCTTAATGTCCACAGTGATGACCATGAAGCCACTCTGACCTCCCCAGTCACTGTAACCACACCGACAACATTGACCACATCGAACCCACAGCCCAACTTAACCGTCCTGACAGCATCCACTCCTGATCTGTTAGGGGGATGCTCCGCTGGTCCACACTGGTGTGGTTAAATCAGTTGTTTCAATATTGAAATGCATCCGGCCCAGCTGATCTTGAACTCTGACTGCCCCTCATTGTCTAACACCCTGTCGTCTCATGGAAGCCCCCTAGAGCTTCCCACGACCCAGCAACTACAGAGTCAGTCCCCTGCACACTGTGGACGGTGTGTGGGGGGGCTTTTATGGTGTCCCTTCTGAATGGCCAGCTGTGCCTGTTGTTAGACATTTTGACTGTCACCCCAAATTATCAGCAACATAAATGGCCTGTGGTTCGTTTAAGCAAAGGAGGACTTAGGATGGCTCTGGGGGAGCTCCAAAACTCATGTGGAGGCTGAAGGACCAGGTTCTGGAATAGCTGTAGGGTCAGGGTCCCAACAGGTATCCTCAAATTAGGATGCTTTGCGGTGGTTTAAGAAAGGCACTATTTATAAAGTCCCTGCAGGGTGTTGGCAGCCCAGGCCCAAAGGGGCAAAGGCAGGGAGTAATTGGCAGCCCAAAGAGTTGTATGAAGGTTGTAGACAGGAACCATGACCTTCAGCTGAGTGAGGCTGGGGATTGGCACCCCGATCTCTCTCTCCTTCTTCCCTTCCATCTCCGGCAGGGCTCCCTACTCGGTCAGGAGCCGGAGGACAGGGAGCCTGTTGATGGAATCCATAGAAAGGTGGAAAAGGACAGAGAGTGACCTGGAGAGGCAAACAGAAGACATTCAGTCATACCAGGAAGAGGCAATTCTGATAGAGGACGCTGGGGCACCAGTGGGCAAGGGAGATGGATGTGAATAGACCAAAGCCAATGTGTCCATTTGCACAGCCACATTCATGGCAGCAAGGAGTCCGAAGTGGGAGGATGCCTAGAGGCCAGGAGTTTGGGACCAACCTGGGCAACATAGCGAGACCCATCTCTACAAAAAACAATTTTTAAATATAGCTGCATACTAGGTACTAGAAAAAAAAAATAAAATAAAATAAAATTTTTTTTAAATAATTAGGCAGGTGTGGTGGCACACCTGTCGCCCCAACAACTTGGGAGGCTGAGACGGGAGGATCGCTTAAGCCAAGTGTTCAAGGCTGCAGTGAGCTATGATCATGTCTCTGCACTCCAGCCTGGACCACAGAGCGAGACCCTGTCTCTAAAAAGGAAGGAAATGCTGACACACGCTACAACATGGGTGACCCTGGATGAACCTTGAAGGCATTATAAGTGAAATAAACCAGTCACAAAAATGCAAATACTGTATGATTCCACTTATATGAGGTCCCTAGAGTAGTGAAATTCATAGGGACAGAAAATAGACCAGTGGTTGCCAAGGGCTTGGGGGAAGGAGAAATGGGAGTTATTGTTTAATGGAGAAAGCTTCATGTTTGCAAGATGAAAACAGTTCTGTAGATGGATTGTAATATCTGTACAACATCGTGAATGTACTTAACACTACTGAACTATATGCTTAAGAATGGTTAAGATGGTAAGTTTTGTTGTGTGTATTTTACCACAATTAAAAAATGGAAAATAAAAACCACCTTACTGGGCTTGGTGGCACACCTGTGATCCTGGCAACTTGGGAGGCTGAGGAAGGAGGATCACTTGATGCCAGGAGTTCAAGACCAGCCTGGGTAAAATAGTGAGATCCACATCTCTGAAAAAAAAAGTAAAAAAAATTAGCCAGGTATAGTGCTGCGTGCCTGTAGTCTTAGCTACTCGGGAGATTGATGTGGGAGAATTGCTTGAGCCCAGGAGTTCCAGGCTGCAGTGAGCTACAGTCACACCACTGTACTCCAGCCAGGGTGACAGGGTGAGACCCCATCTCTTAAAAAAAACCAAAAAACCCAATGTGTCCACTATGATATGGACATCACGTGATATTGACTGTATTGCTGTCCTTAAGCTGAGCTGCTGCATTGCATAGTGCATGTGGGCACCGTGCAAACATACGCAGTGTAGACGGTGTCCCCGGGACATGAACAACATAGCGACCCTGGCCTAACCCTACGGACCACAGGGAAGGGGTGGCTTGTTCTGATCTTGCTGAGTCCAGTGAGCTCTTGCCCCCATCGCTAACCTTGTCCACAATGATCCGGTAGTTGCTCACCGTGTGGACCATGTTACCCCCACCACTGACCCCGATTCTCCTGCACCAGGTGTTCTGGGCCATCGGGACGGTGTTTGAGGTCCTCCTGGCGGTGTTCGTGATGCCCAGCCTGGGCTGGCGCTGGCTGCTCATCCTCTCAGCTGTCCCACTCCTCCTCTTTGCTGTGCTGTGTTTCGTAGGTATCTCTTAAGACATCTCAGCCTGTGCCACTTGGCACCCCACTGAACTCTGTATTTTGGAGGGGAGGGGATGGGGAAGGACATCAAGCCACCTTCTGAGATATTTTTTCTGAATAAGGAAATGAGACAAGGGAGCAAGGCCTGAGGTAGCCCCAGGGTGTAGTGTTAGATTTCCTCCAGACAGACACTTCTGGGATGTTTGCTAGGGAGATAGGTGGGGGCCAATCCTTGGCTCCATCATTGCAAAGTCTACACTTAAAGTGACTGCATTGGATTAGTTGGGACTCTTAAGTTGCAAGTGACAGAAACCCAATTCAAACCGGCTTGAGTGAAAGAGAGAGACAAATGCATCACAGAGCATTAAATCCGGCTTCAGGCATGGCTAGATCCAGAAGTTTAAATGATCTCCCCATCTCAGCTTTGCGTAAACCACGCCCCTGGTGAGATCATGCCACACACTCATCATTTCATGTGCACACATGTGAAACACATTATAGCCAGTGGGGCACCTATATGTATGTAGATGGGGAGTTCTCATGCATGGTAAATACTACAATAATTCCTGCTAATGACAGTAGGTATGAATAACTATTGAACTTAACTATGTGGCAGGCTCTGTGCTAGGCTCAGAGAAGTCTAGTCATTGCACAGGGTCACACCATCAACATGGTGAATGCTAGAGCCAGGATTTAAGGCCGGGTCTCCGAGTCCACACATAGATAAGGGTGTGTGGCTGGGAGCGAGTGTTCTGTCCCGCCCTGACCAGCCTTCTGTGGGTTTCCTGTCCCTCGCAGTGGCTGCCAGAGAGTGCGAGGTACGATGTGCTGTCTGGGAACCAGGAAAAGGCCATCGCCACCTTAAAGAGAATCGCGACGGAAAACGGAGCCCCCATGCCGCTGGGGAAACTCATCATTTCCCGACAGGTGAGTTCCTGGCCCCGCCCACTGCGGGGCGCACGCACGTCTCTCCTAGGTGTGCGTCCAGGAGGCGTGCACGTGTGTGGTGAGCGCATGTACCCAACGTGGGGTGCGCATGCGTGTGCGCGCGCGCGTGCGCATGGAGCAGATGCGGACTCAGTAGGGGGCAGGACCTGCAAGGGGGGTGTCGCAACTCCAATCTGTATTTTGGCTGTCAAGTTCTAAATGTGCTACCTGGAGCATTTAGCCGGTAATTAGAGAAACGCAGCATCTGCTAATGGATCCTGTAACTGCTCCTGCTTCGGTTGCGCCTTTGGGCACCGACGATGTGTGACCCGCACGTGTGACGGATGGGCAGGAGGTGCGCAACAAAACCACACGGGCGCGCAGATCCAGGCCATCAAACCACACCTGCCGCAGATGGTCTGCGTGGTTGGTGCGTGGGTCCCCCGGGAACACCAGCGGGGAATCCGCCGCCGTGAAACTCTGTCGCACCTGCGCCACGTGGGCGCCGGCGTTGCACACGTGGGAAGGGGGGGGTGCAGATCTAAGGCTGCAGTCCCTGCTCTCCAGAATCATCTCGGGGCGGATTAGAGAAACATGACAGATGCCCTTAAGCAGACAACAGACCCTATAAGGAAATTATCTTTTAAAATAAACTTACGTTTCCGGTTCTACATTATGCGAGGAGAACTGGATGGCATCTCGGCAGACTGGGAGGAGGTGTTTAGCACGGTCTGACAGCACGGAGGCCGGGGCGCGTACCCCCAGTCTACTTAGGGAGCCACAGGGGCAGGACAGGGGAGCGCCCTGCAGGAGGTGCAGGAGGCCGCTTGTTGCCTTTGGAGAGAGACAGGTCGCCTGGATGGAGAAAGTACGTGGCGGTTTCAGCTGTGCGTCCCAAGGTGAAAGTTGCAAGGGTGGATGTGCCGCTTGGGGGTGTCACTTTGGAGAGGAGCTGCTCCCTGGGCCTCTCTGTGTGTTCCAGGGCAGCCAGTAGCAGGGTTCTGTTCATCTCAAGGCAGCAGCCGTGCCAGCTGGACGCTGCAGCCAGGGACAGGGAGGTGACAGGGAAAGGGCTCACCTCCCCCAGGACGGCTCCAAGGAGGCGGTGAATCCTGAGACAAGCAAGAAGAGGAGAAAAGACTGGACAGCAGGGTTCGGGGGGTGGCTCTCACATGTAATCCTAGCACTCTGGAAGGCCGAGGTGGGAGGATCACTTGAGCTCAGGAGTTCAAGACCAGCTTGAGCAAGAGCAAGATCCCGTCTCTACTAAAAATAGAAAGGAATTACACTCTGGGAGGCCCAGGCCGGCGGATCGCTCAAGGTCAGGAGTTCGAAAGCCTGAGCAAGAGAGAGACCCTGTCTCTACTAAAAATAGAAAGAAATTAATTGGCCAACTAAAAATATATAGAAAAAATTAGCCAGGCATGGTGGCGCATGCCTGCAGTCCCAGATACTCGGGAGGCTGAGGCAGGAGGATCGCTTGAGCCCAGGAGTTTGAGGTTGCTGTGAGCTAGGCTGACGCCACCACACTCTAGCCCGGCCAACACAGTGAGACTCTGTCTCAGAAAAAAGAAAAGAAGAGGAAAGAATGCCTTTCCAGAATCAAATCAAGTCTCCAAATGCCAATTTTCCCTGAACTATTCTGCCAAAAGATCAATGTACCAAAAACATGTTTTAAGGATTATTCTTTTTGAATATATTTAGTAAATGGTAATATATTTTCCTACATATATAAAAATACATCTATTTATCAATATAGCCTTTCTATAAATATATTAATGAATCTATTTTTGAATATATTAATATATATTAATGCTCTATTCCAAAATATACTCAATAAATACAAACTTTCTCAAATATATTAAATCAACATATTTAACGAATATTGTCTTCTTAGCCAAGAATATATTATAAAATATTATTATTGGAGAAGACATGGGTAGACTACACCCTCATGACCTATAATGTATATTTTTTAACTTTTATCATGTTTAAATAAAAGAGCATTTCTCAAACTGCTGCTAAGAAAAATATGTTCATTAAATATATATCTAAAAAGAATATAATCACAGAGAAAAAAATATATATTTTTTTGATACAGACTCTTGCTTTGTTGCCCAGGCTAGAGTGCCATGGCGTCAGCCTAGCTCACAGCAACCTCAAACTCCTGGACTCTAGCATTCCTCCTGCCTCAGCCTCCCAAGTAGCTGAGACTACAGGCATGCGCCACCATGCCCAGCTAAATTTTTCTATCTTTAGTAGAGATGGGGTCTGGCTCTTGCTCAGGCTGATCTCGAACTCCTGAGGTCAAGTGATCCTTCCGCCTCGGCCTCCCAGAGTGCTAAAATTATAGGCATGAGCCACTGTGCTGGCCCAAGAATATATATATATATTTTTTGTTTGTTTGTTTAAAACCTTGGTCACTCTTTGACCAAGAATATATTTTTTAAAAGAGCATTGTAAAGCAAAGATTTGATAAATTCGTAAATGATATAAAATTGGCCGATGAGTCACTTAGCTAATCGATGGTTTGGCAAACTGGCCTTTGGTGAATTGGTTTTTCAGCGCATCAGTTGTTGTCACCTTAACCTACAGCTGGCCTTGGGTGGGTGGGGGGCAGAGAGGGACAGAGAATGTGTCAAATGATTGGACTGGTTTTCTGCTCCCCGGGTTCATGGGAGTGCCCGGGGCCAGAGGCAGCCAGGTCTGAGGGGTCTGCTTCCCAGAGGACATGAGATGGCTCCAGTTTATGGGATCAAGGCCCCTGGACATTGCTGGGTCTGGCTGAAGGTGCTGGGTAGCTGAGCCCTGCAGGTCTGAGTCCTGGGTTCGCAGAGCCTGAGTATCCTGTCCCCAGGGGCACCCCTCCCAGCAATGGTCTCAAGCCACCAGCTGGTGCCACACACATCTGCAGGGTACAGAATAAACACTATGTCCTTGTCTCGAAACAGGAAGACCGAGGCAAAATGAGGGACCTTTTCACGCCCCACTTCAGATGGACAACTCTGTTGCTGTGGTTTATATGGTAAGAGCTGTTTGGTGACCACTTTGACCCCATTCCACTCGCCCCGCCCTCTTCTGGCTTTTGTTTTAATGCAACGCACAGAGGACACTTTGATCTTAGGCAGCGTTGGAAAATTTCAGTAGTTTGAACATCACCCACCTGCTTTCTGCCATATCCAGGTTGTCATCTGTACTGTTATTTTCTTAGTTTCTTAGTTTTTTTTTTTTTTTTCTTCAACTTGACTTGCTTTTTACTCAGATAAGGATCTTTGAAGAGGAAACTTCGTGTCTCTACTTCAAAGGAAAACATTTTAATTGCAGGTCATAGATAAAAGTCACTCTTAAAGATAAATACAGTAAAAAGTAGCTAGATTGATGGTTTGCCAGGCAACGAGCTTCTATATTTAGGAGACAGAAAGACCGAGAGAAAGGGGAGGGGTTAAGGATTCAATAGCACATACATGAGACTGGGATATAATTAAAAAAAACTGAAAGGAAACTTCAAAGGGATCTTTTTTCTCTACAGTACGATTTCCTATTTATGCCACATCCATGTCTTCCTCTCTGTTTATCTTGCCTTGGGTACCACCAGTGGCATGTATTTTGGGAACCGCTGATTTGGTCAACATGGTCATTTTTAGAACTTCCAGTTCTGATCCTGTTCAACTTTTCTTAAACAACAGCCGTGGGAGGCTGGCAGTCGGGGCAGCATTTGCAGACAGTAATCACCTTAAACTTCTCAGCCAATCAGATTTCAGTCATCTTTCAACTCTCTTTGTCCCAATTCATGAACACAGCATTAACAGTGTACAAACTGGCCTGGCTTAAGGCTTTGTGTTCTTTTTACACCAGTTCTCATTTTTCCTATTCACCTTTGAGCAGAGGTGCTAATTAGCAGGGAAGTGTCCCAAAGGTGGTCGATTACAGGGAAGAGAAGAAAAAGGCTTCGATAATACACAGAACTGGGCTCCAGCTCAGCCCACGCATTCTTAAGAGCTGAATTAACTCACCAAGCATTTATTAAACACCTGCTGTACAAGTGTGGAGTCCACAGGATTTTTAAAAAAGGGATTGGGGGACAGAGTTAAGAATATGTACCTTTGAGTGTGTATACTTTTTTCAGTATTCACTACTTGAATACTGAAGCAATGAATTGGAGGCTAATTTTAGTGCACCGGAGAAGTCACTACAATTAATAGCACAAATTATAACCCCAGGAAATTCATCACTGGCTTCCGATTCTGAGTGGGTTCCACGTGACTATTCCACTGGGCAAGAATGTTCTGGCCCTGTAAACTTGGCTATCCTAATTCCTGTGTCCATCAGGAGTTGATAAACTGTGCTGTTCTGAAATTCTGAAATCCCACGTCCAAGTTGACCAGCTTCACTCAGAAGCCCTGACAGATGTCAACAGGACTGTTTTCTTTCAAAATTTGGTCCCTACAACCGTTTTCACCCATTGGCAGTTGCATGGACAGCCTTGAGGATGCTGTGTCTCTAGGATATAAGATAGTTCTTGGTTTTTCCAAGAACACAGAACCACCTCCCTTCCATCACGTCTGGATGCTGTTTACCGTGTTTCTCCAAAAACAAGACAGGGTCTTATATTCATTTTTCCTCAAGAAGACACCCTAGGGCTTATTTTCAGGGGATGTGTTATCTTCCCCTCAAAGCCTCAGTTTGCAGCACGCACAGGATGGCCGGGACCTGACGTGGGGAGCCAATGGGTAGGTCTTATTTTCGGGGAAACACGGTACCTGCCATCTTCCTGCTCAGGGTCCCCAGTAAAGCCCCCCAAAGACCCAGTGCAGCTGAAAGACTGGTCCCTGCTGCTGTAGACACAGGCTCTTCCCAAAGGGACAGGGCAAGGAAGCTTGCATTTCTCGGATCATTTCTTTACCTTTCTCCCTTGCTCTTGGCAGGTTTTCCAACGCGTTTTCTTACTATGGGTTAGTCCTGCTCACCACCGAACTCTTCCAGGCGGGAGACGTCTGCAGCAGTGAGTATGGTGGTTCTCTTTGCCGGCCACCCCCTCCCCCACCCCCAGTGCATACAGAGTCACACGCACGCTCCCAACACAGGGCTATGCCCTTCTGGGATCTGGCCCCTGCTTCGGCTTGCAAGATGCTCTGGGGAAAAAACGTGTACAGTCTCATCACCATGGAGCTGATATCAGCAGAGCTACATTTCATGTCGGTGTTTGGGCTCTAAAGTTAGCATGGTTAAAAGATAAGCTGCTGTAATCCTAGCACTCTGGGAGGCCGAGGCAGGCGGATTGCTCAAGGTCAGGAGTTCAAAACCAGCCTGAGCAAGACCCCATCTCTACTAAAAATATAAAAAGAAATTAATTGACCAACTAAAAATAAACATACAAAAAATTAGCCGGGCCTGGTGGCACATGCCTGTAGTCCCAGCTACTCGGGAGGCTGAGGCAGGAGGATCACTTGAGCTCAGGAGATTGAGGTTGCTGTAAGCAAGGCTGATGCCACGGCACTCACTCTAGCCTGGGCAACAAAGTGAGACTCTGTCTCAAAAAAATAAATAAATAAAAGATAAGCTGAAGCACATTAACATCTCAGAGAGTTGATCTGAATAGACAGCAATTCCTAAATCAGCAGAAGAGAACTGAAGAAAGCAGGAACAAGGAGCAAAAAGAGGATGGGTTGTTTCAATGTTTCCAAGTGACTTTCCTTATAGGGTTAAAACAGTAGGGACTTCCTTTTCATGCCAGCTCAGGTAGGCTCATTCATAGGGCTTGCTGTGAATCTCCTTTTTTTTTTGTTTTTTGAAAAGTGGCCCCTTTCAAAGTTCAGTTCGATTACGTCACTTAGCAAAAGCGACTCCATTTTGGTTTGGCCTGGACTGCCAGGCCCTGGTGCAGAAGCCGATTCAAAACAATGGCCTCCCATAAAACTTCAACATAAGGTACACACAGAAGCAAGATAAAAAAAATTGTTTAATTGGTTAAAGTGGAACAGTAGCCTTGAAAACCGCTAGTAGAGGTGCTGTGATTTCTGGTTGCTTCAGTTACTCTGAGTTGGGTTTCAGGTTTGCTTATGCAGGAACCTAGAATGCAGGACCGTGGTCTCAGCCTAACAGCCTCCCAATTAATTTTTTTTCTAAGAGCATTTAAGGGGAAAATTGCGTATAGGTTAAAATGATCATTGCTAATCCCCTAAAGAGCCCCACGCAGTTCAGTACTCAAGAGTTTTATGGAAATGATCCTGCAGCCATTGTAATGTGCACATTAAGTTCGAGAACCAGGTTGGATCTCCACCCTAGCCACATAATAGAATCACCTGGAAAGCTCTTAAACAATGCCCAGGCCAATTTAATCAGTATCTCAGGGGTGGAGGGGGTTGCGGGTGAAGCCAGGGCGTTAGCAACTTTCAAAAGCTCCCCAGGTGATTCTATTGTGCAGCTGGAGGTGGGAACCACTGGACAAAGGGAAAGAATGAAAAGAAATTTCTATATGCGGATGTCTGTGCTTTCAGACCATTCTGTATTTAAGATAATACTAGATTCCTAGCATGGAACCCAGGTTGGAGGATAAAGGACTCAAGTTCCTGCTTGTCTCTAAGGTTTGCCCAATTATCCTTTTTCATATTAAGCCCCTATAATCTTAGGTAATAGTTTTGTTTATAGGTGTAAGAATTTAATGAGACAGTGGAGTCACAGCTCATGGAATGCTCTGCAGAAGGGCCTCGGTTTAGATTCAATCGTATAGGGTTTGGTATTGATTGAACATAGATTGCATCCCCTAAAACTAGCCCTTAAGCTCAACAGAGGATCCAGGGCAAAGTTAAAAAGCAGAGGTTGGCAAACTTTTTCTATAAAGGGCCAGGAAGCAAATATTTTGGGCTTTGTGGGCCATGCAACTCTGGCGTTTGTAGCAGAAAGTCAGCTATGGACAATATATAAATGAAAAACATGCCTTGTGTTCCAATACAACCTTATTTATGAACAGAGATTTGAATTTTATATAATTTTTATGACTGAGAAATAAAAATAAAATTCTAACCCCCTCCACTGAATGGACCCCTTCTTGGCCCAGAGGACCCCAGAGAAATCTTAGGAACTGAGTTGCTGACCACGACAGGACAGGAGGTTGGACATGCCTTGTTCTACCCCCTCTCTCTCACTGTCAGCCACGAGGCTTTCTTTCCTAAGGGTTAAAGAGAAACCATCCCTTTCAAAGACTTGGTCCACTGCTGATTTCAACCAATCTCCTGAAGCTGCCCCTCCCTTCCACACAATAATGGACCGGCATTTCTTCCTGACAAGAGACCACGGCCATGGAGTATTTCTGCCCAGTCTGCAAAAGCTGCACACACAGAGACTTCATGTCCCCTGCCTCAACTTTTGACTTATAAAGTCTAATTGTACTATATTTGAACATTAAGTCTCCACCCCATGGTGAACATTGGAACGCATGTTACATACATGTTAGCCTACTACGCACATGCACACCTCCCCTTCATGAATATTTATAGCTGCCCCTGTTGAATATGCTAATTACCCAACCTGTTGAATATGTTAATTACCCAACCTGTTGAATATGTTAATTACCCAACCATTCAGCATAAATATCTTGCCCTATCCTTCCCTCCCTCAAAGTCCTTGGTTTTGGTTTCTGCCTTAGGCTGTGCTTCCCACCCTGTTAGGGTGGCCAGGATGCAGGCTGCAATGCTTTATGAGAAATAAAGCACTCCTTTACAAATGTGTGAACCTCATGATTCTTCAGCTGGCAGCCTCATGAATTCTTTTGATTCCTAAAAAGCATTTGAAAATGTAAAAACGATTTTTAGTACATGGGCCGGGCAAAAAAGAGGCAGGGGATCAGATTTAGGGCACAGGTCAGAGCACAGCCACTTGCTCCTTCACAGTCCCCAAGGGAGAGAGTAAGAGACAGTCCCAGCAAGATAGGCATTGCAAACTTACGAATGCAGTTACACACATCCCATCTCCTTTGCTGTACTCTGTGGGTTAGAAGCAAGTCACAGACCCCAGGGGAGGGGATCATACAAGAGTGTGACTACCAGGAGGTGGAGATCAGGGGACCACCCTAGAGTCCATGTGCCAAAAAAATGCCTGCTATGTGATGACCTTACATAGTGGTTTTATTAGCCCCAATTTTATGAGAAAATTCATACCCAGGGAAGGAGGTATGGGGAACAGGAATATGTGATTTAAGGCTGTGTATGATTCTCTCTCTCTCTCTCTTTCTCTCTCCCCCTGCCCACCCCCAGTCTCTAGCCGGAAGAAAGCAGTAGAGGCAAAATGCAGCCTGGCCTGTGAGTACCTGAGTGAGGAGGATTACATGGACTTGCTGTGGACCACCCTCTCCGAATTCCCAGGTGAGAGACCTGTGCAAGGTGAGGCTGAGGCAGGGAAGCCTGAGAATATGACAGTTGTTCAGCTGGTGGCTCTGTGCCACTTGGAAGCGAATTCCACTTCTGGGTCAGCCAGGGAATTTTTTTTTTTCTCAATTCTTAGCTACAAGTTGTCAAGAACTGTGACACGTCTCAGATTTTACCCTACTTGGAGGCTAACAAGTTAAACTTCCCAGATTCATGCATGCTAGTAGAAGACATGAGACTCCTGGGTCAGAGACAAAAGACTGTTACAGGAAGCAGCATGAGTAGTATACCGGTGACAGTTTCCCTTGTCCCCAAGTCCCACAGGGATGAGAAAGGACCCAGGTGCATGCTACGTATGCAATGGATTTGCAACGCAACTGAGGAACCCAAAGTTTAGGGAACCTAAATATTTTATAATGGGCTTCCAGAAATCTTCCCAACCTTTGACTCAAAGGAAGACATCATCTTTATTATATTAGGCAATAAACAAACGTGCCCTTCACTCCACAGGGAGACAATATCTCTAGCTTTCAAGGCTGTTGCAATACAAACAACCTTGACATTATGGGACAGAGGGCAGCTAATGGCTCCGCTCACAAGATGTATAGGAATACGAAAGACCCATGGAGAATTAGAATTGTCCCCTAACACCGGATACATTGGGAAGGATTGATGGAGCATGAAAAATCCAAATCTGGCTGGGTGAGGTAATCCCAGCAGTTTGGGAAGCTGAGGTGGGAAGGATTGCTTGAGGCCAGGAGTTTGAGACCAGCCTGAACAAGAGTGAGACCCCGATCTCTGCAAAAAATAGAAAAATTAGTCGGGCATGGTGGTGCATGCCTGTTAGTCCCAGCTACTCAGGAGGCTGAGGCAGGAGGATCGCTTGAGCCCAGGAGCTTGAGGTTGCTGTGAGCTACGATCGCACCACTGTGCTCCAGCCTGGGCCACCGAGTGAGACCCTATTTCTAAAAAAATTAATTAAATAAATAAACACATAAATAAAACCCTTTCCTCATATAGCTTAGCAGGTAAGACTGAAGGCTCAGAAGTTAAATCAGCATGGCTAATCTCCATTTCTGTGACTCTCCGTCTCTGAAACTCAGGTCCTTCTTCCTTTGATTTATAATGTTGATTGTCTTAGTTGTTTTTGTTCACTGATACATTCCAAACTCCTAGAACAGTTCCTGACACACAGTGGGCACTTAATTTATTAACTGAATACATGTGGAAAATGGGACTATTAATAGCATTTATTTTAGAGGGTTGTTTTGGTGATTAAACAATATGATTGATATAAAAATACTTAGCCCACATTTAATTATTATTAATAATAAATGCTATGCTATGCTATACTACCTCTACCAAGGTGGAGTGTATTATTTTTTAGTCCCAGTTTACAGATGAAGAAGCTGAGGTTCCGGGGAGACAAGGGACTAGCCTGAGGCCACAGAGCAAGTTAGAGGCAAGCAGAGGCATTAGAAGCTAGGTGTTTCTGTCTCTCAGTCCAGGTGTCCTCCTGCTTGGGTGCAGCGAATGCCACCATTCACGCTCCTATTGGTGCCTGTGTTCGTTATCTGTTGCCATGCAGTGGCTTAAAACAACACATACTCATCATCTCACAGTGGCTGTGGGTCAGAAATCCAGGAGTGGCTCACCTGGGTCCTCTGCTTCAGTGTGTTCCACACGGCTGTAATCAAGGAGTTGGCCCAGGGCCTGCGGTCTCATCTGGAAGCTTGACTGGGGCAGGGTCGACTTCCGCACTCGCTCACGCAGCTGTTGGCGGGATTCAATCCCTCTCGGGCAGTTGGACGGAGGGCCTCTGTTTTTCGCTGGCTGTTGGCCAGAGATCTACCTTCAGCTCCTTGCCAGGTGGCTTCTCCACCAAGGCAAGCACAGGACAAGAGCCAGGGACAGGGAATGCCAGCAAATCAGAAGTCACGGTCTTTTGTAACCTCGTCTCAGACGTGACGCTCTTATCACTTTTGCTGTCTTCTAGTCATGGGGAGTCAATAGGTCGAGTCCACTCACAAGGGGAGGGAGGGATGATACAGCATGCGCATGCCAGGGTCACTGGGGGCCACACTGGCGGCCGCCTGCCACGCCCTGCTCCCCTTCCAGGCGTCCTCGTGACTCTGTGGATCATTGACCGCCTGGGCCGCAAGAAGACCATGGCTCTGTGTTTCGTTGTCTTCTCCTTCTGCAGCCTCCTGCTGTTTATCTGTGTTGGAAGGTGGGTTATCAGGCTTCCGTTGGGGCCTCTGGTGTGGGCGGGGGCCAGGAGGGCACTTTGGCCCCAGATTCTCTCTGATAAATTTAGACTTTTGACATCATCTTCCAATGAGATCATGCATGTAGCCATTTCATTTATATATGCGTTAAGTCTCAGTTTGTCCAGTGGGAGTATCTAATATTTCGAGCAGACCCTGTTTTGTAATCTCCTTTTGGCATCTTTCCATTTTCCCGTCTACCAAGAGCCTCAAAATATAGAAGTAGCCCGTGCCTCTCTTGACCTCTGAGAGGCGCTCGACGAAACCCAATGAGGGATCTTTGGGCCACGCCTTGGTTTGAGGAAGGTCGAGACATGTCGCTCAAACCCTCAAATGTTGGTGTTCTGGGACATCTATAGGAACAATGGAACAGAGGGCTGGGGACCAGAATTATCCTAAAAGTACTGAATAGTAGTTTACTTTCCCTAGCACAGCTGGCTCCTGCTTCAATACCTGCCCCAATAAGTTCCTAATAATTAAGTCTAGGCTTTAATTATTTATATCTCTTCTCCCCAGTCTTGTCCCCAACCTGGGCACCAGACATACTCCACCCTCTCAACCTGATGCTTTGGAGAATGACAAACTTATAAAAGCAGGCCTTTTGAGATGGCCCTGGAACACGCGTGCCTGCATGTCTGTACGAATGTGTGCTGGGGGGAGGTGACGTTTGCCAGTGTGCGAAGTATATAAACTTTGCCTGGGAAGATAGGACTTTGCTGAAACAAGCAGACAGAAAAAAAAAAAAAAATAACCATCATCTGCTTTTTCTCCCCCCTCCCTAGAAATGTGCTCACTCTGTTACTCTTCATCGCAAGAGCGTTTATTTCTGGAGGCTTCCAAGCAGCCTATGTTTACACACCTGAGGTAGGAGGGGTGTCTGGGAAGAGCTGGGGAAGGGAGAGGGGAAGCTCTGCCTCTGGAAACACCCAGCCTGGGCTGCGCAGAGTGAAATTCATCTCCAGGGTTGAGTGGTGGCTGTGAAGCCCTTCATTCTTTCAGCTTATTTTTCAGTCATTTTTCCCTGCTCCTAGAAGCTTATGCTCAGTGTCAAGATTTCCAAAGTTTATATAACTATATGAAGCCAAAACTGAAAGAGCCCCACCTTCTCTCCTTCTATAGGAGCCGTCTTGAATAGTCCAGTGTGTATGTTTCCAGACTTTTCCCCTAGGCATATACATGCTGGTGCATGCTGTCAGTCACATTGAGTAACTGGGTAATTGAGAAGAGTTTTACAGAGAATCAAGTTACAATGGTGTGAGGTAGGGATTAGGGAAACCAACAAATGGCAGAGCAGTGCCCCAGGGCTCACAATGGGGCAAGAAGTGGCTGGGGGAATTGCCACCCAAGGCCAATGGGGTGAAGAGAGCGGGCTGTGCAGGGTCTCAGGAGAGAGTTGTGTGTGATTTCTAGTGGAGTGACACAGATGAGGTTCAAATTCCAGTATTCATTAATAAAGTTTTATTGGAACACACCACACCCTTTCATTTACTCTTACTGTGTCTACACTGCTTTTTGTGCTACATCGACAGAGTTGAGTAGTTGCCAGAAGTCCTGTGGTCCTCAAAGCCCTAGATATTTGCTTTCTGGTCATTTAAGAAAGGGTCTGCTGGTCTCTGGCTTAAACTAACCTAGCTGGCTTCTTCTAACCTCAAGAATGGGTTAAATAAATTGTAAGTGATAGAATTCTGTGCGGCCATTAGAAATCACACTAGTATTATAGAAGACAAATAGGGACATGGGAAATGTCCACAATCCTTTTCTAAAAGAAAAATAGTCTTCAAAGTAGCACGTACGGAAGTGTCTAGTGGATAGAATGATATCCTCTCTGGGATTTGCCTCGGTGTAACTCAGGAAGGAAAGAAGGTAAGAAAGGTGTTCCTAAACAAGCACAGGTCACAGTGCTTGGCACTAGGGAATTTATTAGACCATCCTAATAAATTTAAAATTTAAATAAATTTAATTATTTAATTCATTTAAAATAAATCTTAAAATTCTCCATAATAGAAAGAAAAAAAACAGAAAGAAAAAAAATGGGATTACAATACTAATTCATTTTTTAAAATTACATTGAGGCCAGACATGGTGGCTCATGCCTGTAATCCCTGCACTTTGGGAGGCTGAGGTGGGAAGATCACTTGAGACCAGCCTGGGCAATATAGCAAGATCTCATCTCTACACAAAACAGAAAAATTAGCCAGGTGTGGCAGTACGTGGCTGTAGTCCCAGCTACTCGGAAGGCTGAGGCAGGAGGATTGGTTGAGCCCAGGAGTTTGCGGTTACAGTGAACTGTGATGATGCCACTGTACTCTAGCCCAGGCAACAGAGTGAGATCTTGTCTCAAAAAGAAAAGAAAGAAAGAAAAGAAAGAAAAGAAAGAAAGAAAGAGAGAGAGAGAGAGAGAAGAGAGAAAGAGAGAGAAAGAGAGAGAAAGAGAGAGAAAGAGAGAGAAAGAGAGAGAGAAAGAGAGAGAGAAAGAGAGAGAGAAAGAGAGAGAGAAAGAGAAAGAAAGAAAGAAAGAAAGAAAGAAAGAAAGAAAAAAGAAAGAAAGAAAGAAAGAAAGAAAGAAAGAAAGAAAGAAAGAAAGAAAGAAAGAAAGAAAGAAAGAAAGAAAGAAAGAAAGACTAAAGTAGAGTGTTTTGACACAATAGAAACTTCTCACTGGGGAAAGTGTTCGATATGGATGATCTTGGCTGGCGGACAGCTTTCCACCCCGCAGTGGTTCAGGCATGCAGGCTCCTTGCATCTTGTGATTTTGCTTCAGGGGACATTTGGCAATGTCTGAAGATGTTTGGGGTTGTCATAATGGGGGGCGGGGGGAGGGCAGAAGGGCTACTGGCATCTAGTGGGTGGGATGCCCCTGAACATCTTACAATGCCCCGGAAAATCCCCCAAGATACAGAATGACTTATCCCCAGACATCCATAGTCCCCGGGTTGAGCAGCCCTGTCCTAGGGCCCTGGAGTCCTCCCCCCAGCCAGCAGGCAGGGGAAGGGAGTGGAGAAAACACTCCCCCTTGGCCTGGAAGTTGCACAACCCTTGTCATTTCGCCCAGGGAAGAGCTAGGCACGTGGCCCCTCCTGGGTACAAACTGAGAAGCCGTAGTAAACATTTCAATCTCTCTCTCTATGAAAATTCCTTGAAAGCCTGTGAGCAGTGCCACAAGCTGCACTCGGGAAAAGTGGAAGGCAGAGCAATGCCGGGGGCCTCAGTGTGCAGCAGTTCCTGGTGGAGGAGTCTTCGGGGATCCCCCCACCCAAAGGGGAAGCAGGACCCCCATTCTGGTGCCCACCCATGGTTCAGCCTCTGGCCCTCTTTCCCAGTTAAACCTCCCAGGCCCCTTTGGGATGAGAGTCCCCATCCAACACCCACGGGGTTGCCCTGACTGCGGGCCGCTGTGTTGCAGGTCTACCCCACGGCGACTCGCGCGCTGGGCCTGGGCACCTGCAGCGGCATGGCAAGAGTCGGCGCTCTCATCACGCCGTTCATTGCCCAGGTGGGTGTCGCCTGCAGACACAGAGGGGCGGGGGTGACAGAGCCCAAGGCATGGCAAGCAGGTACTATACGCCGGCTGTCTGCCGTGCCCTGTGCACAGTAGCTTATTTCATCCTAAGAACACACCCTAGAGGAGAAGAGATCTTGCTCGCAGGGGAGAACATTGAGGATGGGACGGACTTGCCCAAGGTCCCATGGCCGGGTGGTGGACAAGCCGGGAACGCAAACCCAGGTCTCCCCTACGCAGAAGACCCTGGGGTGCCTGGAGATTTGGCTGGGAACAATTTGCACGAAAACAAGTCGGCCAACGTGATTTAGTAGGAAACAAACGTCCCAGCCCCTGCTTTCTGAGTTGGATGATTAGACGATGGCATTGCAGAACCGTGCAGCTCTTCGTGTGTCTTGAAGCATCGCCACTCACTTTTAGAGATCCTGTTAAGTCTTTTTGCTCTTTGAATATCCAGTTATTTTTCTGTTTGTATCCGTTTTTTATTGAGGTAAAAGTCACGTAGCATAAAATTAACCATCTCAAAGGGAGCAATTCGGTGGCTTTCAGCGCATTCTCCTGGTTGCACCATCGCCACCTCTATCTAGTTCTAAAATATTCCTGTCATTCCCCAATGGAAACCCCGTGCCCACTAAGCAGTCACTTCCCATCGAGCCCAGCCCCTGCCGAGCCCCCATCTGCTTTCTGCACGGCGCCAGGTGCCAGGTGCGTCCAAGTAGCTTCTCACTAGGAAGCGACCCTGCCCTGTGCCCTTCGGCAGAGGAGGAACTGGGATTCAGCGCTGTCGTGTGCTTTGCCCCAAGCCCCATGAAGCTAGGAGATTTGGACAGGCACAGGCCGGGGAGACAGTGTAGTTATTAGGAGTCCAGACTGGGACTCGACAGACCTGAGTTCAAATCCCAGCCTCATCCTTATTATCTGTGTGAACTCGGGTGTACCGCCTAGCCTTTTCGAGCCTCAGTGTTCCCCTCTGTAAAATGGGGGTGAAGCATATACTTAGCTCACGGAGCCGCAGCACGGAATGCTCGCGAGAGGGCCCGGCGTCACGAGTGAGAGTTGATGGCTGGTGATAGCAATGCTTCGTGCCCTCACCAGCCTGTGTCTCCCTCCCCAGGTGATGCTGGAATCCTCCGTGTACCTGACGCTGGCGGTGTACAGCGGCTGCTGCCTCCTGGCTGCCCTGGCCTCCTGCTTTTTGCCCATCGAGACCAAAGGCCGAGGACTGCAGGAGTCCAGCCACCGGGAGTGGGGCCAGGAGATGGTTGGCCGAGGGGTGCACGGCGCAGGCGTCACCAGGTCCAACTCTGGCTCTCAGGAATAGTGACCGATGGGGGGCCGAACTGGTCTTTGAGGCTGCAGAGCTCGGGGGAGCTGGCGGAGCCCAGCTGGGGCGCCGGCCGTCACTGCCGACATCACGAACTCACCCACGAGGACGACCTGCACCCACGGGGTTTTTGAGTCTTGACTCCGTGTGCCCATATTCACCGAGGTCCACCGGGGAAGGGGAGCTGTTGGCTCTGGGGGGTTCTCTGTACCTGTGGGGGAAGGTCCGTTAATAACCTGAGGGTCTGCATGGGAAAACCACCACTACCACGTTAGGAGGGCCCGGTGATGCCAGCAGCCAACCAGATGCCACCCAGAGTCGCCTGGTCCCACCCTTGGTGAGCAAGAGCCGAAAGTTCTCTGTGGATACAGTCCAGGTCTGTGTGACACCTGCCATGCACAGACCGGACCTGTTCAGTAGGTTTCTGCCACACCCCTGGCCCCGGCTGGGGGTGACCTAGGTGTGGCTGAGCAGCTTTTACTGGGGTCAAAAAAACACGCCCTTGGCAGGGCCCACCCCCCATTTGCCTCCCCAGGGTTTGTTGAGTGGAGACTCTGACAGGTGCATGTGCGTTTGAACTTGAGCCATGTGCCCTTCCCTGGCCCCCTCTGGAGTTGCAGTGTCTGGCTCCAGGGGCCCCGGATGTGTCCCTGGGGGCAGCTGAGCTTGTACCGGATGACAGCCTCAGAGAGCTGTTGCCCCCAGGAATGGGCGCCGAGGCCAAAGGGAGGCGAGGATCAAGGCCAAAGCCAAAGCAGGGAGGCGGCGGAGGCCATGCCAGGCTTCTGCTCCGGGCCCCTCCTTGGTCGGGCCGAACGGCGATCCCTGGGGAAAGAAAACGGTTGACTCAGGTTTTAGGGATTTGGGCTCTGTGCACGGGTAGATGGCTGGCTGGGCGGAGAAACCAAAAGGACGCTGCACCAACCACCCCCTTCCCTCGGGATCAGGGGACCAGGAATCCCTGGCACAAAGCTGTCCTTCCGCCAGGGACTGTCTTGGTCTTTCCGCAAAGGCGCCCCTGGGGTGGCAGCGCCGGAGCCCCTGGCAGGGGAGCACTGGGTGGAGAGGGGTGACGGCGCCCAGGTGTGTGAAGCGTGTGATTTCCAAAGGAAAAGGAGGGAGGCCGATGCGGTTTGGGGCTGGCCTCAGGAGGGCGGGAGCTACGTCTCAGCAGACTGTACCCACTTCCGTTTACACGAGCCTTTTCCCCGTGGTGAAGGCAGGGGACCTGGACAAGGAGGGAGGAGGCTGGCAGATGCCATCAAAGGCCAGGGGAGGCGGACCCTCTGCTGGAAGTAAACATGGCAAGGAAGCCAAATGTGTGCGTTCATCTCTTATTAAAACATGTCAGTGATGGGCATTGCAAGAGTCTACCTTTGTTCACCTGTCATAACTTCCTAGTGACGGTCCAGCTTGACAGCCTTGCCACCTTTGTTCCTCCAAGGTCATCTCAGCGCTTTAAGACGATCATCTCTGCCGGGCGCAGTGGCTCACGCCTGTAATCCTAGCACTCTGGTAGGCCAAGGCGGGTGGGTGGATTGCTCCAGGTCAGGAGTTCGAAACCAGCCTGAGCAAGAGCAAGACCCCATCTCTACTATAAATAGAAAGAAATTAATTGGCCAACTAATATATATAGAAAATTAGCCAGGCATGGTGTCGCATGCCTGTAGTCCCAGCTACTCGGGAGGCTGAGGCAGAAGGATTGCTTGAGCCCAGGAGTGTGAGGTTGCTGTGAGCTAGGCTGACGCCACGGCACTCACTCTAACCTGGGCAACAAAGCGAGACTCTGTCTCAAAAAAAAACAAAACAAAACGATAATCTCCTTTCTAATAAGGGGGGAAAGTGGCACCATTGGCTGCCAACATCGTGCCTTTGAATCTGTTGGAGATGACGCTTTCTTCTAACGGTGCGGAGATCACAAAGGAGGGGGTGTCTCTTCTGGTTCAAGCGGTAGGTCAACGGCAAATAATCCTGTGCCCCTAAAATGTGGGCTGCAGCCATCCCCCGCCCCAGCCCCGGCAGTCAGAGAGGAGGCAGCTGGGCGGATTTGTCTCCCTCTGACATCCACATTTCCTTGAACCACGTGTGGTTGTGGCTTTAATTATATCTGGGCAGCTGAGCTCTCCCGGGTAACACAGAACCTTTGCTTGTCCCCTTCGCCTTCCAGCTGGTCAGATGCTGCTGGGTCATCTTGTCCACTCCTTCCCTCCAATAACCCAGAGGGGCTGGGGGCTGGTAGGCAGGAATATCTTCCAGGGACAGGGGTAAAACGACTCCCAGTTGAGGGCTTTCTCTGCCTAACAAAAGGAATGTTTAAAACCCTTTGCCTTCTGAATAGCCTGCCCTTTTAAAAAAAAAAAATCAATATTATTGAATGATACAAGGTCTGCCACAAAAGACCACCCAAGCCTCTGAAATATACGGGGCCTTTAGCTGATGGTGTTTGTATCTAATTTTTAATAATCCTGTTCAAAAAGCTCTTGTTTCCAGGAATGGAAATGTCATCTGTTTCTCCCAGAATTAGGAAAGATCTCAAGAGAGTGGCAAAAACATATAGCCAGGGTTACATGTTTCTTTCTTTCTCTTACTGCAAGTCTTCTCAGAAACACACAAATGATCTCGGTCGTGTTGGCAATGAGATGAAAGAGTATCTGAGAGATCGACTTGGAAATAAGTATGGCTATTCATTGTTTTTAATAACAAGAAGAGTCTCCTCTGCTTATTACTAACAGACATCAAAGGACTGAGGTCCCTCCAGCTGCAAGTAGTACTAAACACAGTCAATAATGGCTTAAACCATTAGAATCGTGATTGTTCATTTGACAACAAGCCCAAAGTCAGATAGTGTCCAGGGAAGGCTCAGCAGCTCGACAATGTCATCAGGGACCCAGATTCTTTTTGCCCTCCGTCTCCATCATCCTCTGCACGTTGGCTGTTCGACCCGATGTTTGAAGCCTCATGGTCACAAGATGGCTGCCAAAGTGCCGGTCATTGTATTATTTTCAGAGGAGGTAGAATAGGAAAGGAGCAGTCACCAAAGGTTTGCTTTCAGAAGGGTCTGTTGGTTTGGTTGGAAAGGGAAGACCTCCGGCAGATTTGCCATGGCTTCTCATTGGTCAGACCTCGGTGGCATGGCCAACCCAACGTGATTCCTCCCCCAGGGCTGGAAGGAAGGGCCTACCTTCCGCAGGGCCAAGGGATACCTTTGTGGCCTCTTGAACACAAAATTGAGATTCTATTAGCAGGGAAGGAGGATGGCAATGGCTGTTGGATGCGCAATGGTTGAGAGGAGACTGCCGTGGGTGTGTTGGCCACAGAGTTCTCATCAAGGTGTTTTCATTGCAAGGAACAGAAATTCTACTCAGGCTAATTAAAATTAAGAAGGGGGGCTTTATTATATGAATGGGATCAGTGTTAATTTCCTACAGAGGACAGTCAGGGAGTATAAGTAGGTGAAATGGAAAAGGTGTAAGGAACAAGAAGAAGAGGGGAGGACCCCAGCATGGTGACAAGCACAAGCCCCACCCACAGGGGGAAGCCATGACTCAGCTCCAGCTGATTTTGCTGCACTGGGTGTGGGTCTAGTGTGACCAGATCTCCCGAATTTCAAGACAGGAATCTGGATTTTTAGATGAAATCTCCAAATTTTAGTATGTTGGGTCAAAAATGTTTAACTGAGACCAGGCACAGTGGCTCACACCTGTAATCCCAGTTCTTTGGGAGGCTGAGGTCGGAGAATCACTCGAGGCCAGGAGTTCAAGACCAGCCTGAGCGAGAGCAAGACCCCATCTCTTCAAAAAATATAAAAATGAGCCGGGCATGGTGGCGGGCACCTGTAGTCCCAGCTACTCGGGAGGCTGAGGCAGGAGGATCACTTGAGCCCAGGAGTTGGAGGCTGCAGTGAGCTATGATGATGCCACTGCACTTTAGCCCAGGCAACAGAACAAGACCATGTCTCAAAAAAAAAAAAGTTTAAATGATGTGTGAGCCAAATAAAAGTCATTTGCAGCGCAGGTTTGGTCAGTGGGCTACCGGCTGGTAGCCTCTGAAAGGCTAGAGGGGTCTCGCAGAAACCAAGCGGAGCCTGGGCTCGCACAACAGAACACAGAACCACCACCAGGGCTCGAGGCAGCTCCTGCCCTGAATCTGTGGCCCTCGTTGCTGCCCCTCTCTGCAGACGGGGCTCTGTCTGTGTCCTCGTGGCGGCTGCGTCGCGGAGGACAGGGTCCCGGTTTGCTGCGACTCCATGGCCTCGTGACACCGCTCTGCAAATGCATGTGGCTCCGCTGCTCCACGTCCCACTTCAGGTTTTCAGGGAAGGAAGCTGATCAGCCCAGTTTAGCGTTGGTTCTCGTCCTGGTTGGGTCAAAGAGGGGGTGGCCAACAGGCACAAATATGCCAGCTTCGGCTAGCCCTTCAGCAGGGTGGCACAGACGCTATCCGGTGTGTCCACGTGTCCCAGCGTGAGTGGTGTGTGTGTGTATGCATGACCGTGAGCCCTGCGATAAGATGGCCTCTTGTCCAAAGCGGGTTCCTGCCTTTTGCCCTGAGTGGGCTCTGGCCACACCAGACCCGGCATTGGAATAATTGGGTAAATAATTAATTATTTACCCAATAATTAATAATTATAATTAATCATTTACCCAATAATTAATAATTATTATAATTAATCATTTACCCAATAATTAATAATTATATAATTATTTAATAATTAATCATCAAATAATTAATTATTGGGTAAATAATAATTATTATTATTAATTCATAATGATTAATTGCTGGTTTTTATTAATCTTTCTTAAATGTTATGTATGGCTCACATTTATTTCAAAGTTTTATATTAGAAGTGTTTTGGTCTTTTTTTAGAAGTTTGGTGGGGTTTGTTTGTTTTTGTGGCCAGAAATATGCTGTGGGAACTTAACTCTTGTTTTTATCAATTAACCTATGGTAAAATTGGTTTCCTTATACATCACTTCCCTTAAAGGTGCAGTGTCCAAAACCTATCGATGATGCTAAGTGAAGAAAGACTTACTCTATAGAAATCAAACATTGCAAAATCTGCTCTTCTATTCTCAATTTAAGGACCACATCAAGAGAAAGCCACATTTCAAAGAGGTTCCTTACCACTTACAAAAAGGAGAGGAGGGTCATTTGGGGTCTGAATGTGGACTTGCCTGGCCACATCCAGTTTTCTGAGTTCACTGTGTACTCAGTCCGACGGGATTCCCATTGACAACCAGCTTTGGCTGGTAGAGGTCCCTCTCCCTAGAGAATTTTAGGCTGGGTAAAGAAATTGATGAAAAACTAAATGCTTGCATTGCCAGGTGCCTCATGGAACAACAACAAAAACAACAAAATAGAAAAAAAAAAAAAAAAACAACAACCCTAAATTCCGGGTCTCACTCCAAGTACCAGGAAGTGTCCCTGCCCAGGGGCCTTGTCCCCCATCTTGGCCCAGACATGGCTATGAGGAGGAGAGAGCTAGTTCCTTTTTGGTGTGTTTGCAGAGAGAGTTGGGGAAGACGCCCACCCCACTCCTTCTTAACTGTTTATTTTCCTTCCAACTTGGGGTTCAGGGTCATGCAGTGGTTGAAAGCAAAGCACTGGAATTGTATCATTTCTGGGCCAGAATCTCCATTCTTCCCTCCCAGCTGTTAACACCAGGCTGCCTCTCTGTGTCCCGGTCTTCTCACCTGTGAAGTGGGATGATGGCTACCTCATGGGGTGTGCATGGGGATTCCGTGAGCAATGTGTGCAAGAGTTTAGCACAGAGCCTAACATGCAATTCGAAGGTACCAAGTTGTAGCTATAACACCAATGACTGTTTTTTTGTTGTTGTTAGGACAGAAATATAACTTAGATTTTGGGTCTCTCACCCTATTGAGCTTGGGCCTGGCCAGTATCATGGCAGAGGCTTCATGAAGAGCCCCTCAGATGAAATGGCATGGAAGGGAACAGACAGTGACGAGATGGCCGTGGTGTGGGCCAACTGAGACCTCTTCACAGCACATGGGTGCTGCAGGTGGGCTCAGGCCTTTCACAAAAACCTGGACAGGTGAAAATTCAACAGCAGAGGCTGAGGCAGGTAATTAGGGAGGAAGACGCAAAGGGGTCTCCTAGACTCATTCAAGGCTCTCAGAAATATCTGGGAGCCTGTTTGCCATCTCAGAGAGAGCCCACCTAAAGCCAAGAGAGATGGTAAACCTGCCCCCAAACAAGGAGTATGCTTGGTGACTTTAGTTCTTGCTATGGTTTGAATGTCCCCTACAAAACTCACGTTGAAACTTAGTCCCCAATGTGGCACTGTTGAGAGGTAGGGCTGTTAATACAGGATTGGATCATGGATCATGGATCCACCCATACACAGATGA